ATCACTGAGGGTGTTAAAAAGATGTGTACTCAAGGGCCAAAATTTAAGAAGATTAATAGTTATTTTTACTACTTCATCAAGGACATTCTTAAGTAAAATTGACCTTTTTTTTAATTGATGAGTGCGTGGCCACATGGAATGCGCTGATGACTGGTGCAGTTCAGTGTCACTTTGTTAACTCTTGCTGAGCACCAGCACTTTTATCCACCGTTGCTGTGGCACTATCAGTGCATATGTCAGCATAACAAAAAAGGCAAAGAACTTCTTAGTATTATTATGAAAACAGATTTTCCCTCATCTGGCCTCTGAAAGAGGCTCAGGGGTCTTTAACAGTCAGCCAGTGCTCTTTGAAGTCTGCTGTTTTAGAGTATAGACGACGGGTAGAGAAGGCAGCTGAGAAGACTGTGAATGAGTGGCCATGAGATAGGAGAAAAACTGTGAAACGTGGTATCAGGAAATCTAGGAAAAGAGAGTGTTTCAAGAAAGGAGAAATGTCGAATTGTGTCAAACGCTGTTGTGAAAGTTTGAGTAAGAGGAGATAGAAAGGACCAGTGGATTTCACAACGAAGTCAGCAAACTGACCAGAACAGTTCCGTTGGCGAGGAGCCATCAAAAGCACTTAGAGCTGACTGAGACCAAATTGGAGGTGAGGAAGTGAGACCCTTACGGCAGACAGCTCTTTGGCGAAGTTTCACTGTGTCAGGGAGAACGTAGAAGTGAGGTCAGAGCTAGAGGTAGGTGTTGGGTCAAGGGACATGATGTTAAAATTTCCCCTCTCCAACCTTAAAAGTCTCCAACATTAGCAAAAATTGTTTGCCGTGATTTTTTTTCTCAAAATTTCTTTAATGACTTAAAAAAAAAAATGGTGTGGTAGTTGAGTTCCAAAGCCAGTTGGTTGTACTTATCCAAACCATACTGTATCCTACTCTGGTTTTATCTTTTTGTAAGACTTTATGTTTTTAGAGCAGGAAAAGGTTACAGAGAGGTCACATGTATCCCCTGCCCCCACACATACATAACCTCGTTCATTGTCAACATTGCCCACCAGAGTGGTACACTGGTTCCAGTGATGAACCTACATTGACACATCATAATCCCCCAAAGTCCATAGTTTACTTTAAGGTTCACTCTTGGTGTTGTACATTCCATGGTTTTGGACAAAGATTAAATGACATGCATCACTGTAGTATCATACAGTGTTTTCACTGCCCTGAAAGTCCTCTGTGCTCTGCCTATTCACCTCCCCTACCCCCAAGCCCCTGGCAACCACTGATCTTTTTATTGTCTCCATAGTTTTACTTTTTCTAGAATGTCATATAGTTGGAATCATACAGTGTGTAGCCTTTTCATATTGACTTCTTTCATTTAATAATATGCATTTAAAGTTTCTCCATGTCTTTTTACGGCTTGATAGCACATTTATTTTTAGTGCTGAATAATATTCCATTGTATGGATATACCACAGTTTATTTATCCATTCGCCTGCTGAAGGACATTTTGGTTGTTTACTCTTTCCATTTTTAATGCACTCTGGAACCCAGGGTTGCACAAGACCAAAACCAGGCTCTCTCAGGAGTGAGACTGACTCATCCCTCGCCACGAGGATGCCCCCGAGATGCTTACTCATCTACTTTAATTCATGGGACGAGTTTGGAGTCAGCGTCTCCTGAAGTAAAATCTCAGGTTTTTTGGGCACCTGAGCTAACATCTGTTGCCAATCTTCTTTTTTTTTTTTTCCTTCTCTCCAAAGCCCCCCAGCACATAGTTGTATATTCTAGTTGTAGGTCCTTCTGGTTCTGCTGTGTGGGACGCCACCTCAGCATGGCCTGATGAGCAGCACTAGGTCCACACCCAGGATCGGAACCAGGTTGGCAGCAGAAGTGGAGCGCATGAACTTAACCACTCCGCCACAGGGCCAGCCCCTCATGCATTTTTTTTTTTTACAAACCACCTATGACACCCAAGCAGCTAACCATGGATGGAGAAGAAAGTCATGGTAATAGCTAACATTCACTAAGGGCTTATGCATTTAGCCCTGAACTGACTATTCTCACCCTAAATTCGTGATCATAAGTCTCAAGTGGACACTCAACACTGATGTACAACTCTGCTACCTTTCTCTAGTAAACTTTGCTGTACTAGTCTCCAAAGTGATGATTTCACACTTTCTCCAAACCCCCAACACTCCCTTCTCAGTGCCTTCTCAGTTGGCCTCATACTACTTCGAAAATACAGAAACATTCTAACAGGAACTCTGTCATCTTCCAACTACCATTACTTAATCTGTGCACATATGATCTAATTTCTTTGCAGTTAATTAAGTTCTTTACAGTTTTTTACTGAGTTCTTTACAGTAATCTTACTGTAATTAAGGGCCAACCCCTACTTATGCCCTGGATTCCATCATTAAGACCTTCTCAAAGATGCAATACCTGCAATTATCCTTTCTCTTTTCTATATCATCAATTTCCCCCTCTCCTTTGAATCTTTTCCATTGGCATACAAATATGCCTGGGACTGTACTTGTGTGTTGTAAAAACAGCTTAGTAGGTCCAGACTAGCATTTTTTTCTTAACAAAATAGTAAGAGTAGAAAGAGTAGTTAAGGTGGTCAAGGAGTGAAAAACTTGACTCGGCACCAGAAAAGATGATAGTTCTACTTGGAGAGGCAGAAAGCGCTAGCATTAAAAATCTTGAAGAACACGAGTTGGTTGAATGTCGGCTTATTCATCAGTGCCCATAACTATCTGAGCCACTTAAAATTCTGAAGAGGTAATTCAGGGCATTTAACTAGCAGAACTGAGATTTTAAACTCTTAAGTCCTCCTTGCCAGATGGCAGAACTCCTAGAATGAGGTGAAGAGATGAGTGGGAACAATTTTATTAGTCATAATCTCTTGGCATTGTTCATTGTTTGAGCAGGGGTTATTGGACTTCTTGGACCAAAGCAAGAACAGCGGCTGCCATTTACTTTTTGGTTTCCAGCCTACCTGTAGTGGTAATTAGATTAAAAAAAGAAAATCTCTTGTAAACCTGGATTTTATTACTTCAGAAGATGAAGGCATTAAACCTCCTTAACTGTTAATGAGATTACTTTAGCAAGCTTCTTGAATAATTCTTGAATCCACAGTCCATATGTACACAATGGAGTGACCTTACTAGGAAAAGGGCCTAACTAAATTACGTAAACCCCATAGTGTTGTTACCCTTGCCTGACAGAAACTTTGTAATGATGGCGGTGGTGGTTGCCATTGATTCTGGAGCGCTGGAGAAGTACCAAGTAGTTATCCTTGAATGCAGGGAGTTAAATAGGGCTTGGAAGGGGTCACCTGACCTGTGTCCTAGATCGCATCTCACCCCTTTCTAAAGAGCTAACTTTTTCCGGTAATCTTTATGGCCAGTTTATATTTCTTTTGCTGAAATTTTAACCAATCTCTTATTTAAAATTTACCAGACACTTTACAACCCGACACATTAGTTTCACTGGGAGTTTTCCTACACATACGATACACGTAAATATATTGGAATTAGAAGCAGTCTCTCCCTAACATGCAAAGAGCAGTCACATTGATAGATCAAGAATGTTGAAATGAATGTGCAATAGAGGCAGAACTGGCTTCTTCCACAGTGGGGAGGGAAGTCAGTTGAATCTTCGCTAGACAGGATTTTGCATGTCCATAGACAAGAATTATTTTCCGTTGCCATCAGTTATCTACAGTTTGCAGAGCTGTAACGTAGCTCGAAGGCAGTGAATGACTGGAATCCTGGAAGAGTAGCTCTAGAAAACGCAGAGTTTTTAATTGAAGCACAAATTTTTCCTTATACTGAGTTACTCTTAGTATTGTGCTACTGGGAACATGTTGTTTACTGTATGAAAACAGTCTTAAAACTTTGTTTTAACCATTTGCAGTATGATTCTAAAATGTATTTTTACAGGATTGATGACATTTTGAACTATGACTTAGGTGTTAAAGATTGCTAAATAAGTGCAACCTCAGCTATTTGAACCCTGCTTCAGAGTCACAAATAGATGTCCTAACGATGGCCAGCTACTCTATTGAGTAAATTAGTGTACATTAATAATGATAACCTAGAACTCCACTTAAATTATCTTCAGAGGTGTTAAAAGTAATAGTAAACTAAGGCTGGTGTTAATTATAACATCCTAAGGTGAGGTGGAGTGGTGGTGGGGGTGGTAGGGGTCTTTGATTGTTAAAGGCATGTCATGGGAAACAGGCAAGAAAAGTGAAGGAAAAAAGGGTAGTTGAAATGGATATTCTTTTTTTTTTTTTCGGTGAGGAAAATTGTCCCCGGGCTAACATCTGCACCAACCTTCCTCCGTTTTGCATATGAGACACCTCCACAGCATGACTTGATGAGTGTTGTGTAGGTCCAAGCCCAGGATCCGAACCTGCCAACCCGGGGCTGCTGAAGCAGAGTGTGCAAACTTAACCACTGTACCACTGGGCTGGCCCCTATCCTTTGTTTTTATAACCCACCCTCCCTAGAGGCTTCTGCTTTTATATTCAGTTAATATTCTTCGTCTTAGTACTCTTTTGTGTCTTGGAAGTTAGAATGATGTCTTTTGGCTATATTTAAGAAAGTAGCATCTTTTATGCTCTATCAAAAGCCTTTCTAGAGTATGGAGTTTGGGAAGAAACCAATCTCTTATTTAAAATTTACCAGACACTTTACAACCCGACACTTTAGTTTCACTGGGAGTTTTCCTACACATACGATACACGTAAATATATTGGCAGTAGCAGACTAGGAGTATCATGTTTCCGTGTTTGTATCCAGGGAAGGGAGAAGGTGAGAGGAGAGGCTTGCACCGTCCCCCAGCCCTTGGTATTGTTGTCCTGGCCAGCTTTTCTGTGCATTGCAGGTGATTCCCCAGGGTGCCATTCTTGAGCAAGCTTGTACGCTTCTTGATGCTCAGTTTGTTGGGTGTAGATGTATTACTTTTATAGTCCTTGCTTTACTGAGATCTTTTGAATTTCAGGTAAAAAACATCAGAATGAATTTCAGCTTCTGGTGGATCAGGCCAAAAAAGGATACAAGCAAGCTGTTGGAATGTCAAAAAAAGAAGTAACAAAAAAAGAAGATGAATCTCCAAAAAAGCTATTATCTGTATGCATGGGTAAGAGACTTTGAAAACAGAAATGTGTTGAAATTCACTGTTTATTTTTAATATAAAAAGAAAATAAAACCAAGAGAATTAACTTTGGACTTTTTAGTTGTTTGAAATGAGAAAAGGTATTTTTAGACATATAACAGTTGTTGAACGTAAATTAGGTTTATTACTCTGGGAAAAATGATTAGGAGAATGTGCTGAACAGAGTTTCTAAAGTCTGTCTTCCTTTCCGTTAATGATAAATCTGAAGGTGCTTAGTTGGTTAAGCTTGAGGATGTTTTCCAGGTGTAGGATTTAGTGCTGCACACCCTCAGATGTCCTCAAAGACAATAAATTATTGTTACAGGTCACTGGTATTTATTTTGGAAGGAATGTTCTACTAAAAAATCTAAAGCTAATACACTTGGTATACCAATACATAGCACATTCCTTAATTTTGACCCATTTTTAAATTTGAGATTAATATTATATTTCTGTTGCCAGGACTTTGGGCCAGTGAACAAAAAGAGAATCATAATGGAAGAAAGTACACCAGAAAAATCCTTATTTTTTTTATTGTTGTAAAATATACATAAGATTTATCATTTTAACCATTCATAAATATACAATTCAGTGGCATTAAATACATTCACAATGTTCTGTAGCCATCACCACTATCTACACCCCAAACGTTTTCATCATCTCCTGTGAGATCTCTGTACCCATTAAATAGTAATTCTCTCTTCCCCTCTCCCTGCCAGGCCTGGTAATCTGTATTCTACTTTCTCTGTCTATGAATTTGCTTGTTCTAGGTACCTCATATAAGTGCAATCATATTTGTCCTTCCATATCAGCTTATTTCATTAAGCATGATGTTTTCAAGGTCCTTTTGTTGTAGCATATATCAAAATGCCATTCCTTTTTATGGCTGAGTAATATTCCATCATATATATGTACCACGTTTTGTTTATCCATCAGTCTGTAATGGCTGCTTTCACCTTGTGGCTACTGTGAATAATGCTGCTGTGCAGATTGGTGTTAAACATCTGTTCAGGTCTCTGCTTTCTGTTCTTGTGGACACATCCCTAGGAGCAGAGTTTCTGGTTCACATGGTGATTCTATGTTTACCTTTTGAGAAACCATCAAACTGTTTTCCACAGGAGCTGCACCATTTTACATCCTTGCCAGTAATGCTTGAGGATTCCAATTTCTCTGTATCCTCACCAACACTTGCTATTTTCCGTTTTTGTTTTTTTTTACTACATATAGCTATTATCGTAGGTGTGAAGTGGTATCTCATTGTGGTTTTGATTTACATTTTCCTATTGACATGATGTTAAGCATCTTTTCATATGGTCATTAGCCATTTGTTTTTCTTTGGAGAATTGTTTGTTTAAGTCCTTTGCCCTTTTTTTTTTTTGGTGAAGAAGATTGGCCATGAGCTAACATTCATTAACAATCTTCCTCTTTTTGCTAAGGAAGATTGACCCTGAGCTAACATCTTTGCCCATCTTTTTCCATTTTGTACGTGGGATGCCGCCACAACATGACTTGATTAGGTGTGCATAGGTCCATGCCTGGGATCTGAACCTGTGAACCCTGGGGTGCCAAAGCAAAGGGCACGAACTTAACCACTACACCACCAGTCTGACCTCGCTTTCCCATTTTCTTAATTTGGTGGTTTGTTTTTTTGTTGTTGAGTTTTAGGAGTTCTTTATATATTCTGGATATTAATCTTTTACCATATATATGATTTGCAAATATTTGTACACATTTTCTAGGTTGTCTTTTTACCTTCTTGATAGTATCTTTTGATGCACAAAGGTGCTTAATTTTGATGAAGTTAAATTTATCTATTTTTGTTTTTGCCTGTGCTTTTGGTATTATGTCCATGAAGTTGTTGCCAAATCAGCGTCATGAAGATTTTCCTCTATGATTTTTCTTAAGAGTAGTTGTAGCTTTTATGTTTAGATCTGTGATCCATTTCAAGTTAATTTTTGTATATGGTGTAGGGTAAGAGTCAACTTCATTCTTTTGCCTGTAGATAATCCAGTTTTCTGAGCATCATTTGTTAAAAAAACTATCCTTTCCCCGCTGAATGCTCTTGACATCCTTGTTGAAAATCAGTTGAGGGGCTGGCCCCGTGGCCGAGTGGTTAAGTTTGCACAGTCCTCTTCAGCGGCCCAGGGTTTGTTGGTTCAGATCCTGGGCACAGACCTACACATTGCTCATCAAGCCATGCTGCGGCGGCATCCCACATAGAAGAGCTAGAATGACCTATAACTAGGATATACAACTGTGTGCTAGGGCTTTGGGGAGAAAAAAGAAAAACAAAAAAGGAAGATTGGCAACAGAAGTTAGCTCAAGGCCAGTCTTCCTCATCAAAAAGCATACTTAACAAAAAGAAAAGAGAAGAAAATCAGTTGACCATATATATGAGGGTTTATTTCTGTACTCTGTGTTCTGTTCTATTTGTCTATATGTCTGTCCTTAGACGAGAACTATGCTGTTTTAATTACTGTAGCTATATAATAAATTTTGAAGTTGGGAAGTTTGAGTCCTCCAACTTTATCCTTTCTTTTCAAGATTATTTTGGCTATTTGGGTCCCTTGAGATTCCATGTGATTTTAGGATAGATTTTTCTCTTTCTGCAAAAAGTGCCATTTAAGTTTTCCCATCCATGAATACAAGATGTCTTTCATTTATTTGTCTTTAGTTTCTTTCAGCAAAGTTTTGTAGTTTTCAGCATACAGATCTTCCACCTTTTTGGTTAGATTTATTCCTAAGTATTTTATTCTTTTTAGGTGTTACTGCATTCCTTATTTTTGTCATAAATTCTCTTGGTGTCATTTAGTAGGTTGCTGCCTGAGTGTATACCTCATGGTCTTTGTGAACAAATTGAATTTGTTAATGCAGTTGTTAAAGGATATTCTTAGAAAGTAGTTTAGCTCCTAAGAAAACCCACTTTAATATCTCGGATTAGGAGAACGTTTTTGTTTATTGGTTGAATCTCTCTGGAAAATGATTGATTGCTTGTGCTCAGAGGTTGTATATCATATGTTCAGAAATGAGTGCTACTGGTAGGTTGCTGTGCATGAATGCTCCTGTCTGAGAAGGGCGGGAAGTGAGAGACGAGGACACACACTGACTCAAAAGCTGGGGGTTGTCTAGCATCATACAACCATTATAAAACCAATTTTTGCTCTTTAGGGTAAACTTGCTCATTGAAGTGCCAATGTAAGTGAACAAGACGCATGTTCTCCCAAATAAAGCCTTCATCTGCTTTTGCTGCATGTCTTTGGGGAGGTTGAGTCAGAGCCTCATTTTGGGGCTCTATTTGAAGTCCTGTTCTGGGATCTCAGTTACCTATGGAGGATAACTGACTCTCATTGCCCACAAATCGTTGAATGATATTTATCCCCAAGAGGGAATTTATCTTCTAGAAGCTTCTGTAAGAGAAGAATATAAATCAGGTGCAAAAATAAAAGATAGTTTTAAGTTGAATTCCTGCTCCCTGATTTGCCAGGTTGATTGCGTTCTCCCGGCAAGTTGAGTGATAGATTTGCTTGGGTTCACTGAGTTTACCAGGTGATTGATTCCTCTTAACGTGGTCCTGGGTGTCCTTTTGCAAGAGGAGATCCTCGAGATCCTGGATGGTTGTCTTGGCTTCTTTTTTCCCTTTGCTACATAAACATTAGAGAGTACAGTTTTGTTTTGGTAAGGGTTAGGCTTGTCGAAAGCCAGGCAACACCAGGAGCTTATTTTGAGAAATCATTCTCTTCTGATGTATGCTGTTCTCCAGGATAACAAAAACATAATTATTTCTGGAAAAATCTTGACTCTATGGACTTGGAAAGGTTTTTTTTTTGAAGAAGTTGTCTTATTCTTTTTCCATGAGTTTTCTCTTTATAACAAAACCTTGACAATTCTTTTTAGTGTCCTGTGTTAAAGGTCACTTACCTTTACAAGCGCACTGGATGAGTGATGTGTGAAAGCTCCGCTTTTCTATGAGGAAACTCATGAAAAGGGGCTCTATACGATTAGCACATGTGGTTTGCATGTTAAGTCCCTACTCAGTTCCTGAATCTTACAGACAGCACAACTGAAATCCCAGCTGAGTCCTGAGACAGACTGTGAGGGAGCATCCTGGGCACTGAAGACTCCTTCATGGATATTGTTTTCTGCACTCATATTTACAGATACTTGGTCATAACTGCATGTCACATTCTTGGCAAACACTGTGTCTGCGTCCCTCCAGCTTTCCTGGGCCTTTATCTTTATCTGCAATAAGAGACCTCAGAAATTGAGAATATAACAAGGAATACATAGAAATGTGACATGTATTGGATCAACTGGAAATATTAGTTATGTCTGATCAGTTTTCCTTTTCTATAGTGAGTGTTAGATTCTGTGTAACAGATTTAGAAAAAAATCCAGATAGAGTGACTATCATATAGTAGTCGCTGACAAATATTATGGTTCTCTTGTTAATTGAATATTCTTTTTTTGTTTCTTATGTTTATCAGTGCTCTCTGATCTGTGAAATATGCAGAATCCTTTAGTAATACTGTAAATAGAAGCCTCATTAGAATTACAGAGTTCTCCCCACTCGTGGTTTTAAAGGAAATTTTGTTTTTAAATTAATTAATCTGGAAATACATGGGATGGACAGTATAATTAGAGGGTACCATTGCAGTGTTGATTCTTATTCTCTGGCTGTCACTAGAGTTTTGGAATCAATGTTACTTAAACTTCTATTTTACTAAGTATAAGTAGCAATATTAAAAGTTGTGAAAATAATAAACATACAGATGTTGTAGATTTTAAGGTACTCTTAAATATTTCTCTTTTTTTCCTTTCTTTCATTTCTTTTTTCCTTTTTAGGAGAGGAAGATAATAAAACGAAATTCTCGGACTTACCCTTGGTAACAAACCACTTCCCCCAGTCAAAGCTGGACTCCCCAGGGAAACTGGAGCCTGATAGATCAGATGACTCTTCTAGTTGTACTGATATTCAAATCGAAGCTTTTTCTTCACCAGAATCAGATTCATGGAATAGGTAAGAAGCTTGGAGCAGTGGATTATTTTAAATTTCTATTTCTTATGCCTGCTAAGATAGATGGACAAAAATAATTAGAAAGTAACTTTGAGGCACAGTGCACTTCCTCAGTCACCTTCCATTTCAGTCTCCTCTCACTGCTTCGTGACTTCACAGTGATGGCAAGACAGGATGTGGGAGAGCATGTGCAGCAGCCACAGCGTGGCTTTGTTTTCTACGCTGCAATCTTTGATAGGTGTTTATCATGGGGTTGGAAAATAGCATGATAGGCAGTGAAATTTTTGTCAAGACAGTGAGTGAAGGAGATAAAGACAACTCTAGTAGAAAATGGAGATGACCAGAAAGGCAGTGCATAGGAGAGTAAAACAAAGAAGGAACAAGTAGAATGGATGGGGAAGCTTTAAAAATGACACATCTGGAGGTGGGTCATTTTCCCAAATGATTTTTTATAAGGTGTTTAAAAAGGTGATGTATTTTTAAAAGATGTCATACTGTTAAGTCATGATATATATACCATTTTGTGTTCTGGTGTTCCACTTAGATCATAAATGCTACTCATGTTTCTTACCTCATCTTTAAAACAGTTTTTTAGTGGGTGCACTGTTCTCTTGTGTTTCGATACTATGACTGACCAAACTCCTCAGTTTCTGTTGGATATCTACGTTTTACCCAGTGTTCTACTTATACCCCTAGAGCTGTGGTAAAGTCCTCCTTATACAGAGCCTTTTGTTTCTAGTGAAGTATTTCCTTATCGCTAACATCATTTTGACTGTGGTTGGTGGGGGTGTTGCCTTCCGAATGAATTATACCAGTTTTAAATGCTACCAGCAGCAGGTGACTATGTCTTGGAAATTATTTCATCTTTGATATTGTTCATTTAAAAATTGTTAACAGTGCTCTAGAATAATAGATTATGTGTAATCTGAAATCAAATTAAGAAACTTTTTTATAAGAGGAGTATACCCCAAAACTCTAGGGTTCTTGGGAAACAATTTCAAATTATTCAGAATCAAGTATTTAGAAGGGAAAATCTCACCTCACCCCTAACATCTTCAAAGTCAAAAACATAGTATCTCAAGTTGGGTACAGGAAAAACACATGGCCTGAGTTTTCTCTAAGAGTGTGGTACTGCTGCACAGTTTCTGTAGATCAGGCCATTCCTGCAAGTCCTATAGGCAGTATTTGTTCTTAAACACAGGTCTTGTAGGGATACAGGGTAAAAATGGAGGAAATAGAGTTCAGGGGAGAAAGAATTAGCTTTTAACCACAGTCATGGGATACCTGAATGTTTCAGAAGGCCAGGGTGAAACAGGATATTTTTATGAACTTGGAGTCAGGGGAATGGGGGAAAGTCCAGTGGGAAACACATGGCAGCAAGATGGATATTTATCTGGTGGTGAGAGTGTGGGAAATAGGATGAGTTTGTTGGAGATATTGGCCTTGGACACACTTACTGGCATCACTGAACTGTGAGAGGATTATTAAACCATTAAAAAAATTTTTTTAACGTAAGCTGTTATATTCTGTTTCACATTTTGAATTAGTTATGCATGTGTATATGTCTGTACACACACCCCTCCTCCCACTCTGATTCAGGAGCAGGCTGTGGAGGAGTAAGGATGCAGCTGGAAGCAGCTGTGGTGTCGCAGGAAAAGTAGTAGATTTACAGCTGAATGGCTTCGGGTCAGGTCTGCTGGGTGATTTGGGAGTGAGTCTTTTGAAGCTTGCTTCCATATTTATGAAAAGCACATAAACATATCTTACATCTCAGATCTGTTGGGAAGATGAAGTGAGATTATAGATATGAGAGTCTTTGATAAATAGATGATTATTATTGTACTTTTATAAGGACAAAATCAATTATATTTGAACTTTGCCAGAGAACGTTGTGAGCCTGGGCTGTGGAGTTGCTTTCAGACGTCACTGAACGTGGCCTCAGCCAGGCACTCACACTGAGGCGCAGTCTTCTAGTTTACTCCCGTTACATTTCCCACGGCACCTGTTCCGGACCAACTGCCTGTGTCTGTTTCTTCACTTCCAGTAGACACCTTGTCTCCCAGTCCACCGAGGACAGCTAGTCTGACCTGTCTTCTTTCCTTTTAAGATTTCTTGTAATTTCTAACCTCTTCTCTCCTTTTAAGTATGAGAGAAAGACATGTTTCTTAAGGTATTTCTAAAGACTCTTCTTTCCTGTCAATGATGAGATAAAGACATATTATTTCTTAGGACAAATTCATCTACCTCCTCTAGCACATTGTTCTGTCAGTCGTTCCTTAAGTTTGCTCTTCAATGACCCCTTTCCCTCAGCCCTACTTCGATCTCTGTCTTCTCTTCTTCTTCCCACTAAGCAGGAAGTAATTTTGACTTCCTCTGTGAATTTCTATAGCAGTGTATATGAATTCCATAGCAGCTGATTGAAATCAAATCCTGTCTTGTGTTATACTTATTTGACTATCTTTGTCATTCCTATTATTACTCGTTGAAGTCCTTAAGAATTGAGTCTCACTCATTTTTTAAAAAAATCTCCTGCCAAAGGTCTATTATAAGACCTTTATTAAGTGAATGATTTATTGATTCTAAGACATACATTTTTGGTTTTACATTTTAATGTCTGAAATTGCATGTGTACTGTAATCAATGGTGCCTTACAGTTGCTACGAGCCAGGTTGCAGGCATGCTATACTTGTCAGTGTGTGAGCATTATGGCTCTCCAGACTGTCATCATTTCAGTTGAGTTACATGTATTGTTAGCGTTACATTGGTTTGCCATTTAAAAATGTCTTCAACAGGGGCCACCCTGGTGGTGTAGTGGTTAAGTTCGCACACTCTGCTTTGGTGGCCCGAGGTTCGCAGGTTTGGATCCTGGGCGTGGACCTACACACAGCTCATCAAGCCATGCTGTAGCAGCATCCCACATGTAAAGTAGAAGAAGCGTGGCACAGATGTTAGCTCAGGGACAATCTTCCTCACCAAAAATAAATAAATAAATAATAAAATGTCTTCAACAAAATAAGAGACAAAAAAGTTATTGTGTATAAAGAAAGCCACAGAAAATGCAGCAGGGTGTAAGTTTGCTGTGAGGGTAGTATTCATCATTTGATAAATGACTGCAATTTCGTATTTTCTTGCAAAACAGTTGAGTGATTTACAGGACCTAGGAAAGTGAGATATCCGCAGGTGTCTAAAGACTTGTTCCATTTTGTCAATGAGCTACAGTGCAAGGATTGCCTTTTTGTTACGTGATTGACTGAAGGCAGGAGAAATGGTCAAATCCCTTGGAATAGATGGAAGAAATTTCAAAGCCATAATAGCATGACTTATTCACATGTTGCAAAAGACTATTGTTAGAGTGTCAAACGTCAGTTTGTTAGACACTTCTTACTGTCTCTGAACAGAAGCTGCCTATCTCCCAGTCACATGCTATGTGATTGAGGAAAGAAACAAAATCCTGAGTTCAGTTTGCAGAATGGGTGTCAATGGCTTAGATGAAATTCCTGGAGACAGTCGTCTAGGACTTTTGAGAAGTACTGTATCTCCAGTGCTCTTGTGGTACAGAGGATGGCTTTGTAAGGGAAAACTCAGACCTCATAGATAAGTCACAATACGATGAAGAAGAATCGGGCTCCGAATCTGAAGGCATTTTAGGAATACTTTAATGAGTTTATTTCAGATCTTTTTATGTAATATGCACAACAGTGGTATGAGATAAAACCTTCTGTCCACAGATATTTAAAATGTGTAAAACTTAAACCTTCTAAGTGAAAAGGAAGTATAGTTAAATTGATCTTAATTTTTTCTCTCTTAGTGACATAAAATAATGGTTTGTCTTGCCATTAATGTTGTCTTAGATTTTTTGAAATGTGGTATCTGAACATGAATAAGGTCCCTGACTCACTTCAAACATAATTTCGTCACCTACTTGGAAACTCATAACATAGGTCATAAAACTGGTTGGTGGTAACCTGACAGAGGGCTGTCACAGAGCATATTGATCCATTGCTTTGTGCCAGTGTTATTTGGTGACTCCAGAATCTAAATAGTCAAAAGAGATACCCAAGTGATTAGGCTAATTAATACTATAGAAATGAAGAAAAGAATTCAAAGTGAGAAGGGACCCATCACAACCAAATGCTTTTAGTAGAATCATAGTATAGCAGAGATAAATGGTCTTTATTTATCTGATCTTCTTTTTATATTCTATCAGCTAGAAGTGAGATGGGGTACTACACTTAGAGACTTTGTTGAGATACTTTCTAACCCTAAAATTCTGTATTGCTATTATTTTTGGCAAGTGTAATAGTTGGTAAATTATTTGTGTTCCTTTACCAGTTGTCCATTGTGGATCATGACTCAACCTTCTGGATTCTTTTTTTTTTTTTGTATATTGAAGTGTTCCTATCTTTATCCCTTTAATTTTTTACAAAAACTTTCTCATTTTTTTCTTTTTATGATACTTTTGTTGCTTTTATTGTAAAACCCTACATTTTCAAAAATACTTTTAAATTTATGTGTTATGCATGTTTATTATGAAAGTAGGAAATTTAGGTAAACAAAAAGAATAAAATTCCATAATTTTGTCAGCCAGAAATAACTTCATGATAACACTTTCATATGTACGTCCTTCTAAAGATAGATGACCATTTTTTTTTTTTATTCAGGTTATGAAAGTTAACATCCTTGTGAAATTACAGTTGTACATCATTATTAGTCATGTTGTAGGTGCACCACTTCACCCCTAGTGCCCGCCCCCCACCCCCTTCCCCCTGGCAACCACCGATCAGTTCTCTTTGTCCATATGTTAACTACCACCTATGAGTGGAGTCATACAGAGTTCGTCTTTCTCTGTCTGGCTTATTTCACTCAACATAATACCCTCAAGGTCTATCCATGTTGTTGTGAATGGGACGACTTTGTCCTTTTTATGGCTGAGTAGTATTCCATTGTATATATATACCACATCTTCTTTATCCAATCATCAGTTGCTGGGCACTTAGGTTGGT